CGAGCTGCTGGGTTGAAGAGGAAGAGCCGTGACAGGTGGCAGATTCTGGTGTGCGTGTGCATATGTGGCAGGCTGAGTGGCTCATTCTCTGGGTACAGGCATGCGCACGTGCATGTGTGTGTGTGGAAGGGGGCGGCAGGCTAGCTGCAGGTGTGAGGAGCTGAGGCCTGATGGAGCCCTGAATGCAGGCTCAGCGGCAGCATTGTGTAGCCCCTGCCCTGCCCTGCCCCACCACACCAGGGCGGTCGACCCCTCCCCACCCCCCAGTGGCCCGAGGGTAGGTCAGTACTCTGGCTGCTGTCCTATAAGATCAGCCTGGAGCCTCCCCTAGTGAGTAGCTAGAGGGAGAATTTGAAGGTGCCCTTTTTCCTTCTGGCCACTGAGGCCCAGGACCCTTGGTCTTGCTTTTCTCTCCACCCTCCAGGTCTCCCCCACAACCCCCCAGCTTGGTGAGGTCAGGGAAAATGTATTCCAGGAATGCGGGAGGCGGGGCAGCCAGCCTGGTCTGGATAACCATCGGAGTAAATATTTGCCTTGCTCCTGGAGCCAGTACTGGCCGCCAGGGGAGGACTGGGCCTGTTCCCAGGGTCATGTAAGGGGAGGTTTCCCCGGGTGGGCCTTTGGTGGGGGAACCTGTTTCACCCCAGAGAGCCCGGGAGCTAGGTCTGAGCCTACCTTTCCTGTGCAAGGCCAGAGACAGGGTCTCTGGCTGTTTGACCCATCTGCAAAATGGGGGTAGGGACAGCTGCTGGTCCAGCTCAGCAAGGAGGGTCAGCGTAGCAAGAGCCGGTTCAGGTCAGTTCAGCCAGTGGAGCGGCAGGTTAGGCCCAGTTTGGGTGAGTACTCACGTGACCATAGTTCTGGCCCCCACTTGCCACTTATGACCTTGAGCAGTTACCCCTCCACCCAACTTTAATACTTACCATTCGCTGATCTGTTCCTTTCTCCGTAGCACCTGCACGTCCACACCCCATGTCTTGTTAAGCCTTCACAGCCACCATGGCATGAGGGGCACAAGTGTGTGAGTGAGCAGCAGGTGACAAGAGTCCTGAACTTCGGCTCAGAGGTGCCATTAGTGTAGCCAGCCCCCTGCCTTATAGAGCACACTGGGGCAGTCCGACCTCCTCCCTCACCTGTCGGTAGGCCAGTGCTCTGGCCAACATCAGATCCTACAGGGCAGCCTGGAGCCTCCCCTGGTGGATGAGTAACTGGAAGAGCAATTAGTCCCTGTTCAGAACAGAGGCGGAGGCTCAGACATGTCAATGACTTGCTCAAGGTCACTCAGCAATACAGGGCAAGCAGGGATTCAAACCCAGCTCTACCCAGCCTTTCCCTTGACCTCACCACTGAGGACAGGGCCAGGGTTCCAGCCTAGAATGTGGGTTCCCAACCCTTGGCAGCTGTAGAGAAGAACTAGTCACTTAGCCACAGGCGAGAGTCACAAGCACAGAGCCTTCATGGTGCCCCCCATCCTGGACGCCCTGTGGCACAGGCATCTCTGTCCTCCAGGAATCTGGGATCAGCCCCGCATCTCTTCGGGCAAGCCTCAGTCCCAATCAGCTTGGCCTGGTGTCTTCACCCAAGCCCCCACCCCAGTCTTCCCAGGGATCCTGGAAGGAGAAGAGGATGGGAAGTTCGGTGTGGTTAGGAGAAGCTATCTGGGACAGTCCCCACCTCAAGTGACCTCTGCCATGTCCCAGCCTTGCCTTTCTCCAGCTGCAGCACCTCCGGCAACCCTATTTGCCTTCAGAGCCTAGTGTCCTGATCTGCAAAGTGGGCAACCATTACTGCTCTGCCATGCCCTGGGAGCAGTAGACACACAGTGAGGGTGAAAGCACGTTTTATCCTGCAGTCTGCACACCCCCCTTCCTACCCTAGCAGTCAGAAGTTGCCCTTCGGTCCGGGCCTCGTGTCTCCACCCACCCCCAGAGTGACAGTCCTGAGCTGAGGATGCCCACAAGAGCCCTCTGGGCAGAGGGGCACCTTCCCATGGGAAGACCCGGTAGGCCCCACCACCCCCACTCGGCCCTGAGGCTCAGGCTGCACCCTGCGCCATGGCACCGAGTGCCTTTTAAGCAGAGAACACTTCCCTTCAAGTGAATCTGCATTGTTTATGGCTGTGGTCTGGTCAGGCTGGGAACAGGCATGGTGACACCTGGTTCACCCACCTTCTCTTCTCTTGGTCTCACTAGGTGGCCAAACCCACACAAGCTGTGAGCCTCACCCATGGGTGGGAGTGGTCATTATCACCTCTTTTTTCACAGCCCTACTCAAGCCTGAGCTGCCCACCCCCACTGCCCAGCACTGTCTGATTCTGAGCAGGACTGTTGAGCAGCTCCAGGGCTGGACAGGGTGTGGGCTCCCTGGCTGGTCGCCTGGAACTGGTTAGAGTCTGAGTGGGGACAGACCACCTGCTCATGTCCCAGCTCTGTTCTACTTTCTAGCTCCTTATTACCTGCATGACCTTAGGAAGTTATGGGACCTTTCTGGGCCTTGTGGGTAAATCGGGGATGCTAGCTTAGTTTCCACCTCACAGCATTTCACGGATGGTGATAGAAATATCCCAGGCAGAACCCAGTATACAACTCAGTTAAGGGCAAGCCGCCTACTCCTCTGTCTTTCCCAGGTGGGAGGTCCAATGCAGGCCCATAGGGAAGGAGGTCAGTCCATCACCAGGGCCCTAGCTCATAGCCAGGTGCCTCTGTGTGGTGCCTTCACTATGTGACCTTAGCAAGTCTCTTCCCCTCTCTTGTCTGCTTGTCCCCTTGCATAAGCCCACACCAAAGAACTGGGGTGGCTGGGGGCAGCGAGGTGCACGTGTGCTCCGTGAGCTGGAGCACCTCTGAGAGGCAGGATGAGCGGGCATCGTTCCTTGGGGCCTGGACGATGCTCAAAGAGTGAGCAAGTATTTTCCGGCTCTGGATTCTATCTCAGCTGCCAAAATAATTATTTTCTCTTTGTCAGCGGGTCTGTGGGCCAGCTCGCCTTTGGGAGAGGCCTGAGCTGGGGGCCTGTTCCACTTCTCCAGCCACCGACTTGTTGCATGACTCTGGGTTGGGGACAGTTGCTGCCTCTCTCCAGGCCTCAGTTTCCTCTGCTGTGAAATGGGAGAATCAGAGTCAGTGAACCCAAGGGCTGTTTGTGTTCCCATGGTGAGCAGAGTTTGGGGGCTGCCAGGGCCAGAGTGTCAGGACATGGAGTCTTCTTCTTTCCAGTGCAGGGGTGGGGATGGCAGCTGGCTTTGGGAGCTTGGGGCTTAGGGGTTTCAGTGTATCACAGAGCTCAGTGCCGGCCCCTGACAGGTAACTTATGCTTTAGCTGACATGCCCGGAAAGCTGCCTGCGTGTCCTGCACTCATATACCTTATGTAGTCTGTACAACTCTGTGGTCATTCCCTACATCCCCTTCCACAGATGAGGAAAGTAAGGCACAGAGAGGTTTAAGAAACTTGCCCAAAGTCACACACTCGGTAAGAGAATGAAATCGGGACTTGAACGAGATTGTTTTTAATACTTAGCCCACATCTCCAGTGCCAGGCTGTGCGTGGTGCCTCTTATTGAAGGGTCGCCCACTTCTCTCCCTGGGAGCCCCACACACAGTGAGGTAGGGCCTAGGTCTAAGGCCTTCACCAGTCCCCCAGCACATGTGGGAGACCACATTTAATATGGCATGTGCACTCCCTCCCCCACTGTTAGCCACGGGTCTCATTCCAAGCTGCACTCAGCCCTGCAGTCAGGTTTCCCATTTCTAGAGGAGAGCACACAGGCACAGGGAGCATGGCGATTGCCCGGAGCCGGCCAGAAGGGCTCAAACTCAGTGCTTTGCAGCTGCCACCCTGAAGCCAGGCCTTTGGGTCTTCTCCTCCTATATTTCCAGGAGGCCCCGTGGACAGTAGGCAGGTGGGGACTGGTGGCCCATTGAGAAGATGGGCCAGCTGGACCCTACCCAACAATGATAATGATCCCCCAACCACCACACCACTTCCCCAAAGCCCAAGGCCCTGGTAGGAGGGGCCGGCATCCACGCCTCCTCCTTCTCTCTCTCATCCCCACATACCCAGTGCACCAGCAGGTCCTGCCACTCCTGCTCTCTCTGTTCCGAGCACCACTGTCTCTGGCCTGGACCCCTGGAACAGCCTCCCCACTGGTTTTCCTGCCTCCTCCTATCCCTCCCAAGCCCTTCTTCCCTAGCAGCCATGGAGATCTTCTCAAATGAGAACTAAGGTCATGTCCCTCAGCTGCTCAGACCCTCATGTGGCTCCCATCTACCTTCTCAACAATCGGCCCTGCCTCCTGGTCCCCACTCACCTTATTCTGTCTGTCTCTCCCTCACTGCGCCCACCACGCCATCCACTCTCAAGTCTTCTATTGGACCAGATGTTTCCCCCTGTCTTGGAGTCTTCACATACATCATTCCCTGTGCCGGAAATACTGTTCCATGCATCTTGGCCTGCCTCTTTCTGGCTCATTCTTCAACTTTACTTCCCCAAAGTGGCTCCTTTGAAGCCCGAGTCTGCTGCGTAGCCCCTGTACTCATTATTTTTGGCAGACACCACTTTTAATTTTGTATTGTTTGATTCTTTGCTCATTATCAGAGTTTTCACAAGGGCAGCGACCACTATTCTGTGGTCGAGGTATTTGTTAAATGTTTTCGAACGAATGAATGAATGTCGAATGCCTCTGTCACCATATATCCGTAGATCCTCCCACAAACCCGAGGAAAGAGATCATGATCCCATCTGACGTGTGAGGAAACTGAAACTCAGAGAGGCCAGGAGCGTATTCACAGTCACGTAGCCGGTGACTGGGAGACGAGGGCCTCGGGCCTGTTTGCATCCCAGCACTCCGTCATTACGCTCCTTTTCTTCTTGGTCCTTCAGATGCCCCAGTTTTGCCAGCAGTAAACCTTACAAGAGGTGGGCAGGCGGGCTATGGCAGCATGCTCAGTTCCAGGGCCCCTGCCCAGAGTGGACCCACTGACCACCCCTCTCATTGCAACAGGATGGAGCTGGAGTGAGGCGGAGGCGCTGCAAGCTGCTGACCAGCACGTGGGACGCTGGTGATTCTCGGGTCACTGAGGTAGGTGTGCAGCTGGGCTGGAGGGGTGTGGGTTGGCCTGGATGCTTGGGGGACGGGCAGTTGTGTCCTGAGTTGGGGACAGATGCTGGTCCCAGCGCATTGTGCCTTTGACTGGGGCTTCAACCGTCATGGGTGGGATTAAGTGTAGCCACCCCTGCTGAGACTTCCTCTGCCTGGCCTCTTGGGCCTGGCCTTTCTCCGGAGTGCATGGAGGATGTGCCCAGGGAGAGGGGCAGGTTTGGTGTCCTTAGCCTTGGCAGAGCAGCCCTATCAGTACCACTCTGAACCCCATAGCATGTGGGCCCCACGCGCTAAGTAACATGGTAGCCACACAGTAAGAAGCCTGGGTGAGCAGAGAGGCCTGTTTGCTGAAATGAGTGCTGTGGCTGCCCCACCCTCTCCTCTCCCACAAATACACTGAAGCGCACCCGTGAGCACTCGCACGTCTCTGGGCTCTGGGGCCAGAGTGCCTGCTTTCAAACCCTGGTTCTGCCACTTGTCCGCCATGATCCTGTGTGGTTTCTCTGTGCCTCCATTTACCTGTCTATAAAAGAAGTGATTGAGATCAAAACACCTGCCCCCATGAGTGTGTTGGCACACCTGGCATCCAGTAAATGCTCAGGATATGTCAGCATTTTCCTTAAGGATGTTCGGACCCTTCCTTCTTCCTGCACGCCTCAGTTTCTAACATTCTCTTCTCCCTGAGGACCCGCCAATGCCAGCATAGACACAAACTGGTTGTCCAGCCCTTCAGGGAATTCCTGAGAGCAGCTGGAGCCAGGAGGTCCTGAGGCTGAGCTTCCCAGGCAGGCCTTTGGCCTAGACACCAGCATGTCTTATACTGAGCAGCATTTCAGGGTTGATCACTCTTGTCCCTGTGCTAGAGGGCGACCTGTTTGATCTCTTCCTGAGAGGCCTTCACAGAGATGCTGACTTAAGCCGGGGCCCTTTGTCCCAAGGCTCTGGAGAGCCAGAGTCTTGGCCATGGCATGAGGCCTTGCCAATTTGTCTCCCTACTGCCCTCAGCTTCTCTCTGCTGGTCCCACTGCTCCCAGGTGCCCAGAGGCAGGTACAGGTAAGCCCTGTGGATTCTCCTTGCTTCAGTCTTGCTCTCGAACCAGGGAGCAGGACTTGGTTTTCCTTCCTGCTGTTAACTGTGTGAACTTGGGTTAGTCCTTTTCCTTCCAAGACAGTCAGTTCTCACCTGAGAATGAGGATAATTATACCAACATTGCTGAGGGGGCCGTTATGAGGATGCTTAGAAGCCTGAATGTTTTTAATGTTACAGCTTTGTGAGAGTCTACTTTGTACCAGGCACTATGCACCTTAAATACATATTTCTCCCCTGAGGAGGTGTGATTAATGCCTCATTTTCCAGAGGCCCAACGTGGTTAAGAAACCCATAGAGCCGTTAAGGGCGGAGTGGGGATTTGAACCATAGTCCCTTGGAATTAAGCACCACATGATGCCGTAGAGGCCAGGGGCAGAGCCACAGGTCAGGTTCACAGTAGGTGAGCAGGAAACAACCTCCACTACTGCCTTATGGCATTTGCCTTGCCCTCAGAGCCAGAGGATGGCCCTAGAAAGCTGGTTGCCTGCCCCTCCCCAGAGGGCTTGCCAACAACTCAATAAGGCTGGGGGAACCCACTGCTAATTGTGAGGTAACCTTTGAAATTCTCCTTCACGGTGGGTTCTCTTTTCGGATGTTTTTCAAGGTAATTCATTCCCTTTCCAGAAATTGCCAGTGGCAGAGCATTAGGCAGCTGGTAATTAATCATAGGAGCGGCTTGGAGTGTATTCTTAAAAAAAAAAAAAAAAAAAAAGGGGTGGGGAGCAGAAAGCCTTGGTGGAAAAAGAAAAGAAAAGAAACCCACTCCAAGGTGAAGGTGGTAGTCAATACCTAGGTGTCCTAGAAATGCTGGGGCAGGGATGGTGGGCATGCGGCCTTCTCCCTTTCTTCCCTCCTCCGGCAGGTGGTCAGTGCCTGAAACAGCATATGTGAGGCTCTGCTTGGGACCACCAGCTCCCTTGTGACTTTGAGCAGGTCGCTGTCTTTCTCTGGACTCAGCTTTGCCACCTGTAAAATGGGTGAAGAGCAGATGTCGGACTAGAACAGAATATTAAATGACTATACTTGTTCACGACCACATCCTAGTGCCTGGCTTGGTTAGGTGCCCAGTTGGTATTTTATTAAATGAGTGAGTGAGAGAATGAAAGATTATCTTGGGTCCTAGTTAGCTATCCTCATTCGAGGAGATGGTATTGGCTGGAGGGCACTGTTTCTCTAGTTCTGTTACAATTCAGAGTGGCAGCCAGGGTGATGGGCCAGCTCTGTCACTTTTTAAAACTTATGATGAAAGGACAGTCTTGCCTGACGGACTCTGGCCAACAGCTCAAGTCCCTCAGTGGCAACCACACTGTCTCTCTCATATTCTCAAGTTTAACTTTTAAGAAGCTGAGCTGTCTGGAGATTTTTTTTAAGCTGCTTTCTGGAGAGGTTGTGAGTTCCTTGTCACTAAAAAGTATGGAAGCCGAGGCTGCACAGGACACTCAGGCAGCAGTTTTGGGGGCTCAGAGCATTCCTGAGTCTGGGAGAGAACATGAGACTCTCCAGGGTGGCCACTGGGGAGTCTGGACTGGCAGAGAGGGAAGCCTCTCCCCACCAGAGCCCCACCCCAGAGGCCCCGTGAATAGGGATGGAGGAGGCTACTGAGAAGGGGGGTTGCCATGCAGGACTCAGATGCTTTGGTGCCTGTTACCCTGGAGAGGAGGGTGCGCAGGGCTGTGTGTGTGTGTGGGTGTGGGTGTGTGCCAGTATGTGTCAGGAACAGGGCTGAGGACAAATGTGTGATTGCCTAGGCCGGTGTATGAGGCTATAATGTGTCAGAGTGCCCACCCACGTGTGAGTGCCATCCTACCCAACTCCATCCCCCATGTGCAGCTCCTGTCAAGGACATAGCGCCTCAAGCCATCTCTACATGAAGCTTGGCTCCGGCCTCATGTTCAGGCTGGCCCGAGGGTCCCCATCACCCCACTGACCATGGCAGCGCTGACTGTAAGGCAGTGTGGGGGAACAGGATAGGCTCCTGCAGGACCCCAGAGGGGACGTATGCCTAGGCCGACTGCTGACCTCCTGTGCCCCTGCCGACAGCTCCCCACCGTCATGGAAGGAGACAGCTCTTGGAGTCCCATGCCTCCTGCTCTGGACTCACCAGCCCTCTGTCTTCTCTGAAGTGTCTAGGTGGGCCCCGTTTCCCCTCGGGGGAACAGCGGTGGGTCTACTCAGGTATCCTCTAAACAGCGTGGCACCCTTAGCCCTAGTCATTTCTTCTTCTCTCTTTGGCCTCCAAACCCCAACTCAGAGGATAGAGAGAGAGAGAGAGAGAGGAGAGAGAGAGGAGAGAGAGAAATACATGCGTGCCCTTCCACGGAACTGTTGGTGTCTTTCTGTTTGGTTCTCTCTGTGTGGGCACCTCTCTCCTGCCCAACTCCCCTTCCTTCTCACACCAGCCAGCCCCGCATTGCCTCCTCTCAGCTCAACCACTTTCTCCCTATCCTGTCATGTCTGAGGTTCCCCCTCAAACCCTCCTCTGGAATTTCTCCCTGAGTCCCAAGACCTTCTCACCTCCTCTCTCCTTTTCCTCAGAGATACTCCTTGCTAGGTGTCCCAGCAGCACATCTGTTCTGTGTCATCACCTCCATCATCGCCAGGACTCAGCAGAACTGAGACCTGCTGGGCTCCCAATCTGCCGTCCTTCGCCTTGTTTATCCAGCTCTGGCCAACACACAGCTCCCTCCTGCCCAGGTCTTTGGAGGTGTCTGAGGCATCGCCCGTACTCCCAGCTGCTTGGAGGCTGTATGCTGTGTGTGACCAAGTGCTGGGGGCGAGCAACATCCCATCCCCATGGACCAGCCACACTGACTGCTCAGGATGGGGCCCAGTCTTCCAGCTCAGAGACATCTGCCCCTGTGGCTACCCTGTGCTGTCCTGGGCACAGGGGCCACTGGCCACGAGCTAGAGCAGGGGAACGAGAAGGGGCCTCATCCACTAACGGGCGGTTGGAAACCCCGTTTCCCTCCAGCACTAATGAAATTCCTGCTATAATTAGAAGTGAGGTGTCCAGGAGCTGGCTGCCTGGCAGGAGCAGGTGTATGCTCATGAATAAATAAATTGTCCTCCAGAGGGGAGAAGGAGCTACCGGGTGGTGGGCTCCTGGAGAACTGCTGGCTTGGAAGTCTCAGTGGTCTGTGAGGTGAGCCAGTGGACTCTGGCGGCCATACTCACCTCCATTCACCTGGATGCCATCTGGGGAGCTCCCTTGGTCCCAGTCCCTGGCCGGTCAATCCTCCTGAAGTACCTGCTGTGTGCCCAGCCTACTCAGTCTGACATTTGGAGCCTCAACCATCTGGCCCCAGCCTCTTGTCACAACCGCATCACACACTAGTACCTGCCAGTACCGTGGGCTACAGCTTCACTGCGTCTCCCACCCATCTTTATTACATATCCCCACTGCTGCACCCTTGCTCCTGCACTTTCTCCTGCCTTGAAAGCCCTCCACCTTTGTCGCCATATGGCTAGGACCTCTTGGAGTCCTCCTCAAGCCATTCTTTCTCCACAAGGTCAGACATGGCCTCCATCCCACCAGCCCCCAAGGCCTCCACCTCTCAGAAGCCTTGGATGTTTCTTCCCTGGATTCTCCTAAACTCAAATCCCTTCCCTTGATGCTCTTATGCTCTTCGAAATGCTCATCAGACTGTCTGCCACATCATCTTTCATTTTGTATTGATTATGTATTGGAAGATAATATATTATTTTACATTCTTTTCTTCTACTAAGTCTTTGAAACTTGGTGTGTATTTAACACGTTCACCACATTGCAGACACTGGTGTTCCATCACCGTGACCTGTGGTTCCTGGCTGCTGTATTGGAGAGTACAGCCTTGGCAGGCCCAGTTTTCTCCTTTGCAGGTGGGGAAACGGAGGCTGGGGGAGGCAGTCT